CTCAACTTTTGTCATTATTTTGAAGGTATTTATCCAGACTTTAAAATAAGAATGAACTCGTCTAAAGCGCATCATTTGGGGGACGGGTATTTCAATAGAAGATGGATAAATCACCAATACGTCATGATTCTGACTCGAAGGTTGAGATTTCAGTCCAGATTTTCCTTGAGGCTCAAGAATTCAATCTAAATTTTCTTTGAGGGCCAAGATTTCAGTCCAGATTTTCCTTGAGGTTCAAGAATTCAGTCCAAATTTTCATCGAGGGTCAAGATTTCAGTCCAGATTTTCCTTGAGGGTCAAGAATTCAGTCAAAATTTTCATCGAGCGTCAAGATTTCAGTCCAGATTTTCCTTGAGGCTCAAGAATTCAATCTAAGTTTTCTTTGAGGGTCAAGATTTCAGTCCAGATTTTCCTTGAGGGTCAAGAATTCAGTCCAAATTTTCATCGAGGGTCAAGATTTCAGTCCAGATTTTTCTTGAGGCTCAAGAATTCAGTCCAAATTTTCATCGAGCGTCAAGATTTCAGTCCAGATTTTCCTTGAGGGTCAAGTGTTCAGTCCAAATTTTCATTGAGGGTCAAGATTTCAGTCCAGATTTTCCTTAAGGGTCAAGAATTCAGTCCAAATTTTCATTGAGGGTCAATATTTCAGTTCATATTTTCCTTTAGGGTCAAGAATTCAGTCCAAATTTCCATTGAGGGTCAAGATTTCAGTCCAGATTTTCCTTGAGGGTCAAAAATCCAGTCTAAATTTTCTTTGAGGGTCAACACCCACTCGAAAAATTCATTAAAAAAATCCATTCAAAAACAATAATCACTAAAATTGCGGGATAATTCCCGAAGAATATTCACAACTGCTGAAACACCTCATTTCATGCACTCGCCACCGACATTTCGAAGCTCCCCCCCCCCCTTCCATCCTCGTACTCACGTACAACTGTCGGAAATACACGGGTTATAGAATGTACAAGCCGAATCCCGCGATACACATACTCTCCTGGGATTGTTACGTCGGGCAACGCGATATAGCATTCCAGATTCAGGTATGTAATATGAGAAATTCCTGCCTGAATGTTGTCGTATGTTGTGAAACTCGCGGGAAGGTAGCAGTTGTGAGTGTACAACCCATTGAAAATGGTATGCCTTTGCAGTGTTTGTACCCGCGGGGCGAGGGGTGGAGGGGGGTACACTGTGCACGCCCGATTTTCCATCGATCCACCAGTCGTCTCTGGCCCAACACCACCGGGATGATGTATCTCTGTCTCGTTTTCGACGAAACACCCGAAACCCCAGTCGAGTATCAAACGATATGATATTCGCATGCCTCGGTGAAGATGCTACTAATCCCACTCTAGAAACTCATTCAGTTCGGCCACTTGAACTTATTACATAAATTGAATTCCGGGGATTTTAGTCCAGTGGATGGGAGAATGAAAATCATATTGGTTTTTGTGGATCGAAGTCTTTGGGGCTTTTTGGTGGAACTAGTGCACTGGTAAAAATTTTCGTCTGAATTTTCCGTGCGAAATTCCGGAAATTTTTGTCGTGTTCAAGTTTCAACGAAATTTCAGGAAATCTTGTCATTGAAAATTCAGAATTTCGGGGGAAAAGCGAACAGAAGCGTAAATTTCCGTTCCGTTTTTGGAACTTGACTGTTCAGAGAGACTTGATATTCCATTGACTTTTTCTCCATCCATCGAATTCAAGGTCTTTTTCCGGAAATTCTGCCTGATTTTGGATAGAATATCCATCTCTCCTCCATTTTCAAAACCCAAAATTTCATTCCCTAGTTTCAGGTGTAAATGACAGAGTCTCATCGCCACGTGCAAGTCGCCCCCGCCTCGCCGCCCCTAGAATACGCCTGAAATCGTTTAAAATCGATCAAGCACAGGCTCCCATCACCCCCCATGCACCCAGAATTCCGAATCCCGCTGCGTTCTCCAAAAAAAAAATCCCCCTCTCCCCTCCCCCCATCCCCTTCATCAATTTCACATTTAATTAATGTGTGTTTTTCCTACAATTCAAAGTGAACTCGGAATAACAGTTGAACCATCCGGTTTATGAAGTTGTACAAAACGTTTGGGTATTAAATTAGAGATTGTGAGGGAAGAAAATTCGCGAGGACGGAGTCTGCAGTGGAGAGGGCCGATGCGATAAATAAAAGAGGAGAGAGGATAGAGAGAGAGGGAGCGAGAGAGAGGGAGAGTGGGAGAATGAAAAATAAAGGAATAAAAAGTAAAAAATGAAGAGACAAAAAACGAAAGCAGGGCTGGAGGAGCAATCTTTCCTTTGGCTGGGCCATTCGTCCCCCCCCCTACCTTCCCCTCCCCCTCCCCACCCCCGCGGGATAGTGTTCCGTCTCTCTCGGTGTACTATCGCCACTGGAGTCTGCTATCCCGCGGGTCGCGCTCTCTCGCCCGTTCCATAAAAATAAAATTTCAATAAATCTCAACAGCACGACGGTGAACCCAGTGGGGCATCCGGAGGGCGGGCTACTCGCTCATTGGAGGGTGGCTCGCGGCGGTTACGCCTACTCAACTTACACAGGGATACAACTGGGTATGTAGCGCGGGTCACGCTGATTCACTCCTTTTTTAAGTTTTTTTTAGGAGTTTTTTCAACGATTACGGATGTACAGTGGCTTGCAATAAGGAGTCGTTCGGAGGTTCGATTTTTATTTATCTTTTTTTGGAAAATTGAAAAAAAAATTGGCGGGGAGTTGTCGATGCGTGGGGGATGGGGATGGAATGATTTTTGGGAGAGGACGATTTGATGGTTTTTTAAATTTTTTTTTCCTTAGGGCAGGCTGGGGTAAACGGACACTTTTGACTTTTTTTTTGAATGTTAATGAGGGGCTGAAATGTTGGTAAATTTAATGATTTTTTTTTTCAATACAAAGAACAACTCTTTCCCGTTGTGACGAGCGTAAACTGAGCTCGATTGATGAATTTGTTTCTGAGTTATAAATAATTTGAAAAAAGTCTAAAGTGTCCGTTTTAGCCCACCCTTCCCTAGTTAAAATTTATTTGGATTGAATAGAGTTTGTGGGGAGGTGATAGGTGTTTATTAGGACTCAGACTCAAGTAAATGGTTTATTAATTAATGATGAATTTTCTGATTCGCTCCTCGGTTTTTTGGATTTTTTTTTGCTGATGGAAAGATTATTTGAGTTAAATGAAGTTGGGGCCAATAAAAAAGTTTATGGGGATCGGATTTATATGTTAAACACATGTTTAATGGGTGTCAAACTCAAATTTTTTTTTTATTATAAATGAATGTTTCCGTGATCGCAATAAAGACTTTATTAATTTGGAGTGGAATCGTTTGGTAATGATCGTTCATTTGGAGTGAATGAATTTTCATTCTCATTGGAATGAATGAGTTTATTAATTTGCAGCGAAAATTCTGTTGAGATGGATGGAATTTTTCCACATTGAGTTTTTTGGAGTTCCATTGAATTTGAAAACTCTATGGAACTCGGGATTTATGAACAGCAGGAACGGTAATTTCCCAACTTGTTTGGATTTTTAATTAAACGATGAGTACTCATTACCAAATCATATCTCAAATATATATGTACGAATTTTCCATATTGATTTTATTGAATTGTCCTCATGGATTTTCGTAGAATAATAAAACTGATGTTTACAATTTCTATTCATTTTTTTTGTTAAATTGTGAACTATCAATGATAAAATTCCTTGAAATTCCAGTGAATTAATTTCCTATTTCAAGATGCTCAATCAATAAAAAATTCGACAGTATATTTCCCCAAATTTTCCTGATTCCTATTAATTTTTATTGAATAATAGAACTAAAATTCACTGTTTCCGTGGATTTTCCATAAAATTATCAATTTTCAGTGACGAAAATCCATGAAATTTTCAGTGAAATGTAATAAAACTAAAATGTAATAAAAGTCGCCGAGAAATGTACCGAAAATACCACCCAAAAAATGCAATTTAGACCCACAGATGTTTTTTTTTACCGCACGAATCGTAAAATATCCACCGCAACTAGTATATTATCTTACTAGTGCGCAAAATGCCACTTTTTCGTACGCAGTGCGTAAGTGAGGTTAAAGTAATTATTTGTGCGCACGAGAATTTACTTTACTCACGCTCGAGAATTTTACGCACGCCGTGTGGAGAACAATCGCTTTACGCACACTAAACAGTTCCGAAAAATAAACTTTTCAGGCGAGTATCCGAAAATGTACTATTTCGACACTAGGCCGTGAGGAACTTTTCTTGCGAATATGAGGTTACAGAACGAGCCGAAGGCGAGTTTTGTAATCACATGAGGTAGAGAAGTTCCCGCGGCCGTGTGTCGAACCCTATTTTTTGTCACTAGGCCCGAAAATCGGTTTATCGGACCTAGTGACGAAAAGAGTATTTTAAATGACAATTTCGCTTCCGGATTGTCCTTCCTGCAGTAAAATTCCCCTCTCCGGGTGTCTTCCACACGGAGAGAAATTTTTTAGAAAAATTCTAGTGCTAGCACGGGAAAAGAGGCGCAAAGTGGTGGAAACCCCGAATTTTTCCCCGTATTTCTGTGAAAATTTCACAGAAACCCCCCGAAATATTACCTTAACACCACTAGAATTTTTCACAGCCGGTGATTTTTTCCAGTACTCGTACTGGAATTTTCCTAGAAAACTTCTCTCCGTGCATTCGTACAAAATTTCCCAAAACTCGTAATTGAAAAATTGAGCCTGCAAAATTGAAAAATCCTCGGGCCTCGGTCCTCGCCATTACGCTCCTGCACTCGGAAAACCGAAGTCGAAGGATAGGCGCGATTTAATATCACGCCCCCAAGTGAGAAAGCATTTGGAAGGAAGCGGGAGGGCACCACCCGCATGTACGAGGAAGAAGCCGATAGTATCCGTGCGCGGATGGCTGATACGAGTCAGAGAGAGTGGGCCCAGTAGAACGGTGCGAGTTGATCGAGAGGTGGGGAGTTTTGGAATGGCAGCTGGACAGTTCGCCGTTAGCCTTCCGGTGGTTCGGTCCGACGCTGGTTACACCGGTCATTGGACGAGCGAATAATTATTAAATAATTGTGTTGTTATTGGGTGATTGTTTTCATCTGCTCTGGTAGATCAAAGTGTTACCATTGAACGAAAATTCCCTCGCGGTGTGCAGGAGTATTGCTCCTGGGGAGGCATGCTCAACAATATCTCCGCTGGAGCTTCCGTTCATGGCATCACCGGTAAGTATTCATTAACATTTAATCCATTAATTAATTAAATGCAATTTTTCGTAAAATAAAATTCATTGAATTCATTGAATCCCCTGAAAAAAAATCCGGAAACTCTTCGGGTGCCGTCGGACACTTTGAGCTCGAGATAAATTAATTTCCTTCAATTGTTGCATTAAAACAAAATTATTTGTTATAATTTCCGTCGATTGTGGGTATTTATTTGAAATATGGAGGATTGTTTAATTTAATTTAACGTTAATTCTGCATTTTTTTAAATTTATTTCCCCCAATTGTGCTTGATTGTAGGTGATTGTTGAAAATGTGAAGTATTATTTGGAGAATTAAGTATTCGGATGCCGAGAAAATAAGAAAAAGCACACAGAAGCCGATGTTACAACCGGTAGACGTCCGACTGCAACTCGATTATGAGGATCAAAGCGAACAAGCCGAATAATTTTTTAGTGTCTAGTGCCTCTCATAAATCCCGAGACCCTCGCACCCATCTACACCTACCCAATAAAATCGGAATACAGGCGTCAGGAGGAAAGGTGAAAATAAAAAACCTCAATGCGGTATGAAACACCGGGAGTCGTAAACGGTTTTCCATTCATGACTCTTGGATTGTTTCACGGTTATTCAGTTAAATATCAACAGGGTGGTCCCCGCCTCCCTCTCCCCCGCCCCTCAGAGCGTTAATTTTTTTAACTCGATTAAAATGGAAGAGGAGTTAATTTCAAACGATTTTAATTTTTAGAAATTTTTAGTTTGGATTTTTCATTGTTTTCGTTTTCAAAATGAAATTTCAAGGAATTTTGTCATTGAAAATTCGTAATTTCAGTTGAATGAATCCGGGAAAATTAATGAAAATTTCTGAAATTCCAAGAATTTTAAAGGAATTGCCAGAAAATTAAAGGGAGTTTGGCAGGAAATTTTTATCTTCCATTTTTTCCACTTTTTATCGCCGTTAATGAAGTGGAACTTTACAGAATTTTTAGAGAGACTTGAGACTCTGTTGATTTTCTATTTTTAAATCGAATTCAAGGTCTTTGTTCGGAAAATTTAGCCAAGTTTAACAGTGTAACGATAAATGTTTTGTTCGATATAAGTTGACTTATATCGAAATATATCGAAATTGCCGGATCGCTAGTCCTCAACTCTGGTTGGTCAGTGAGCCGCGTGAAGTTAGTCGCAAAAATCACGCGGTATTTTCAAATTCTTCAAACCCACGAATTATTCTTTACGTCACAATTGCCAATTTTCTCATATTTATCATGTGCGAAATTGATTAATTAATTTTAATTCGTTCGATTTTCCTTTTTCCTGAATTGCAGAAATTTTATTCTCTTCCATTTTTCGACTTTAATACAGCATTTAAGTTTAGAAAACCGACAAAATTCCCCAATTTCTTAGCAAATTCTCGGAAAATCTGTTTTTTTTTAATTCCAGAAAGAAAAAAAATTTTTAATTGTTCAGTTTTCTAGAGAATTTTGGGATCCGCCGAATAATGTTAGGAAAATTGTTGACTTTTCTAGAAAAAAATTCATAACACTCCCCTTATTTTCCGACAATTGCGAGTATCGATCAAGTTATTTTGAAAAGCGAAAGTCATTAATTTTTATAATGCATTTACGACTGTACGAAATTGAATACAATTAAAACTTGAATAAAAAACAAATAGCAAAAAATTAGATTGTTTATTATTAACTCATTTACACAGATAAAGTAGTCTCGGGATTTTCAAAATATGAACAATATAAATAATGCTTATTATCGTCCTGCGTATTACTTTGAACTGTTGATTTTATTAATTCCATTATTATACTTTATGTTTAATTCAGTAGCGAAGTGGTAAAACGGTTTAAGTGGACTTATCTCCCAGTTGAGTTGTTGAGGAATATTTCCCAATCTAAGGGAGAATAGAAATCTTATCACAATTAAACGTTGGATAAAAATTGCCTCGAAAATCGTGACAAATGTTCAGTGGAAAAATACTGGTTTTTAGTGGATATCTTACGATTTTCTCGATAAAAAATTGATTCCAGTCGTCTGCCGCCTCGGACGCCTGGAATCAAAGGGGAGTAAGCCTGACAGACTTGCGAGATATCGATAGTTATCGACTTTAAGTGCATGCTCTTTTTAGAATAGGATTGCGGTGAAAAACTACTGGAAGTCGCGCTCGCTCCACGACTGCTCGACCTGTCCGGCAATTTTTCTCCAACTTTTTTCCAAGTGCATGTAAACCGAGAATTGTGTTCACGTCATCCGTAAGAAGAGCAACCAACTCTTTCGGATATCACACACGTGGTGCCCGCGTAAAGGAGTGTTTTCAGTTGCGTATGTGTTTGCTCTCTTCGCCTAGAAGCCAAGAGGCCGGTGACGATTCTCACACCTCGGTGCTAAGTGACCCCGTGCGTCCCTCGCCACCACCCGGTCGGCTTCTGCTCCTATACAAATTTAAACTATACACGTTAGTTCTTTTGGACAATCCCGTGGGTAAAAAGGAGAAAAAGGGCGAAGGGCGCAAGAGGGAAAAGATCAAAGGACGTTGGTGATACTCGAAAAAAATACGGTTTTTAATGGAATTAGGCGGAGGAGAGGAAACGCGAGGAGAAAAATTCAGAAAAATACGGTTTACGAGGACTTGAAAGCAGAATTTTTGTTTCAATTTTTCTGTTCATTTCCACATTCAATTTTTTTAATGGTAAATTCATTATTAATTTGATAGTTTATTTGTTCCAAGTGACGGATTGCTGCATGTTGATGAATTTGCTGGATTCATCTTCTTGATAATAATTTTTTTTCCGTCGAATAACGTTTTGGTTTTAATAAATCCGTTTTTCATTTCTAATTAATCGAGTTTTTATTTCGATTCAGGAAATAAAAAATATTTATTTGATATTGATTTGATTCGAATAACAATTAAATTAAGAAACATTAATAAATAAGATAAATTTGTTAATTATTTATTGATAAATAATTAATAAATTTATCTAGGTTGCGGAACAAGTAGAAACTCTAGAACAATAAGTGGATTTTGTGCTTTTATTCACAAAATTTTGTCACACCTCAAGTGCCATTTCCACTAGCATAGTATTTTTTCTAAAAATAATCACTAAAATTACGCAAAACAGTATGAGTATTGCAGAAATTTGAGTTGATTTTATCATAAACCGTTTAGTAAATTGTTAAGTCTGTATTGAAAATTTCCTGCGGAAAACTCATTCTTTTATTAGACTTCCGTTCTGCATTACATTTCATTCATTAATTTTTATTCCGCGCATCAATTCGCTCAATTCCAACGAAATTTTTACCCAAAGTTTGCGAAAACGACTAGCCATTTTGCCCCAGTGGTTAGAGTTAGAGTTAAAGAAAAGATGAAAAACTTTTCACATTAAAATAATTATTTTTGGCTAAATTTATTCTAATTTTTGTTAATGAAGTAATTTACAGTATTGAATGGCTCAAATTGTTTTTTCATCCGTAATAATTCTGTGAAAATAATCACCAGGAACGAAGGAACTTCATGCACAGGAGCTGAAGCACGAGAAATTGGAGAGCGTGCTGGGGGCTAATTTGGCTGGAAGTCTGTCCAGTGGTGGAGGCCTGACGCTTCATCAGGAGTTGATAATGGGAATGCCTGGAGCAGGTAATATCTCGCCGAATTATTGACGAATCGAGTGTGTCCTTAATCATGAAAAAACTTTTAGGGATTCTTTTCTCGTTTACAGGGAATGCAGGAACGATCGGCCAAGGCGACGACAAACCGGCGAAACAGAAGAGACACCGGACGCGGTTCACACCGGCACAGTTGAACGAGTTGGAGAGGTGCTTCGGAAAGACTCATTATCCGGACATATTTCTCAGGGAAGAGATCGCTATGAGGATTGGCCTGACTGAGAGCAGAGTGCAGGTAAGATTGATCAATTTTTTGGGGCGCGCGCTTGACTATTCGTTGTGAAAATGAGGAAATCGAATTTATTAAACTTCATATACTCACAGATGTTTTAAAAATATTGATAATGACTTGAAGAGAATTAAGGGAATGAAGAGTGAAACACCAAAGAATAATTGTTAATCTTCGATTAATTTTTTGTTTACTTTTTAAAATAATCTGATTAAATTCTGTAATTGTTGAAAAATGAGGGGAGAGTTATGAATTGATTTCCTAGAAAACTGAAAGGATTTCTTGAATTCTTCGGAAAATTTCACAGTTGTCCAGGTAACCGAAGATCTTCAAAGATTTTTCTCGAATTACTTGGGAAACCGAAGAATTTTCATGAATTTTGTAGAGTTTAGAATTTATTTATGAAAATCTGAGGAGCAAGAATTGATCATTTTTGCGTATGATCAATATGAAAAAATTAAAATTTGGGAAGTGAAGAATAATTTGTGCGTTAAAAAAATTTAGAAATACTTTTTTTTCACGCATGAAAAAATGAAAAATGTGACGCAGAAATTTTTTTTGTCATTTGAAGAATTTGAAAATACCGGGGATTGTTTCCTGCGACTACTTCACGTGACTTATTGACCAATCAGAAATGAGGATTAGCGGTCAGACAGTTTCGAGATATTAGAAAAAAAAATAGAATTTTCAATCGAAGCTCAATAAAATTTTCTATCGACTCCTCTGAGTTTTTCTACGAAATTTATTCCCGCGTACTCCTTATCAATTTGATGAATTCAATTTTTTCAATTTAATAATCAAATAATAATAATAATAATAAACCAAAGGTTTTTAATTTAATAATTCGACAGTTCTCAATTAAAGAACCAAAACTTTCTCAAAATGACGGGAAATATTGTTAATAATCATGCTAAAAAATAAAAATCGTATAAAACGATTCTATCGGACATTTTCTACAAAAAAATCGCCCCAAAACTCGGAAAATTCTCCACTAAAATTGACTAAAAAAAATTCAATTCTCAAAAAAATAACCCATATCAATTTTCATCAATCGTTGTCAATTTTTTTATCGACTCTGGTCGACAGAGAATTCCATAATTACACTTTTTCCATGAAATTAATTTCCGCGTGCTCCTTATCAATTTGACGACCGCGTCTTGAAGATATTCTCCGAGGCGTTAGATTTCAATTGTTACCGACACCAGTGGCTTTTACGGATTAAACTGAAACTTGGAGTTGCTAAGCCTCGGGTACACTTCACCCAGGGGGTTAGAATATTCGTCCCTGTGGGTGATATCGCCATTCGGATCTTTCGGGCTGTGCGAGGGGCAGAAACAGACGACCGCAAACCGCGAGACGTCGTCCGACGGTCAACCGCACCCGCGCTGACTCGCCTTCCGTCTCTTCGAGCGCTTCAAGTTAAGTCGATACGTTCAATTCCGGGGGTAATGCGCCATTGATAAGTTCAATAATAGAATTATGCGGGGGGAAAGGGGGAAGCGGTGGGTGTGACTGAAAAAAGAGGCTTTTTTTATCAGTTGAGAGTCTCTGGGGCTCGCGGAAAATACGCAGCTAATAGAAATTCATGAAATTTTTATTCCGGAAAAACTCAAAGCGTCAGTCAAGTGAACGCCAACCCGCATATAAAACAGTCACTGCTCCCATACGGGGCTTTTTCTGTTATACGGCCGCGGTGTGATATACTCGGGCTTCGGGGCCCTTCGGGGCTGCATAATGAGACGAATTGACGGGGAATTCACGCTTCATTCATATACCAAAGAGCTTTCACATGTCATAATCGTGGGGCGCTCGGGGGAGAGGGTGCCAGGGAATTTCGGGAAAGAATGGTTTCGATGAGAGAGATTTTTTCACGCAGACTCACAGCAAAGACGAATGCAGACACTAAAACCGTTTGAATAAAATGAAAATTTGGCTGAATTTCAAACGTGAAGTGAGATGTTTGAGTACCTGTTCGTCTGATATTCAGACATTTTCATTTTATTGAGATATTTTTTGGTGTCTGATAAATGTCTACCAAAGGTGTGTGAAATTCAGACGTTCAGACATCAGGTCAATTTTGAGGGGTGATGAGGTTTCAATGAATTTCTCGAAATCTAAGGTAGGTGGTAAAATTTTTGTTAAGGGCTTTTCTGTAGAGAAAATTGAGAGCTGTAAAAAAGGTTTTAACGAAAATTTTGTTATCTCCCTTAGATTTGGAGATATTTCGCGAAAACTCGGAAAAAATTGAACGGAATTCTTTGGAATTCAAACCATTTTTAGTATTGTTGTTGGGGATTTGAATTTAATTTGAGGTGACAAAATTGGGTCATGGGATAGGGTTGCGGGATCGTTGCGTTTAAATGGCAGATTGAATTATCAAACTTGGGGAAATTTAACATCACATGAAATTGAATTTTCAATGGATTGAAAATTGAGAAAAATAGTTGGGGGAATTTTTATTTTTGTGGGAACTTGAAAATTGGATTTTATTAAATACTCCGGAATTTCACCGATTTTTCAGTAAGAAATTACAATTTTATGAGAAATGGGTCAATTTTAAATTTCTTTGGCTTGAAATTTCAGGAGTTATTTTCTAACCGCATTGTTGACAATTTTTGGAAGAAATTTCCGCTAGATTTATTGGGAATTTTTATCACATTATAGTTGACACTGAAAATTCTTGAATTTGGAATTTGGAATTTTCGATTCACTTCAATTTCCGATTTGGTAATAAATATTCATGTTTTTACCGAAAATTTAAGTAAGTTCGGGAATCTTCGTCTCATTGCTGCTAAAAAATTAGGAAATTCATTGAATCTCCAGGGAAAATCAAAATTGCAGGATTTTTTGTTCAAAAGTTCCTAGTTTTTATTTTTTCTATTGGTTTTTTTCATCGAATCCATTGAAAAATTAAGTAAGTTGGGGAATTCTCGTCTCCTTGCTGTTAAGAAATTGGAAATTTCATTGAATCTCCAGGGAAAATCAAAATTGCAGGATTTTTTGTTCAAAAGTTTCTAGTTTTTATTTTTTCTATTGGTTTTTTTCATCGAATCCATTGAAAAATTAAGTAAGTTGGGGAATTCTCGTCTCCTTGCTGTTAAGAAATTGGAAATTTCATTGAATCTCCAGGGAAAATCAAAATTGCAGGATTTTTTGTTCAAAAGTTTCTAGTTTTTATTTTTTCTATTGGTTTTTTTCATCGAATCCATTGAAAAATTAAGTAAGTTGGGGAATTCTCGTCTCCTTGCTGTTAAGAAATTGGAAATTTCATTGAATCTCCAGGGAAAATCAAAATTGCAGGATTTTTTGTTCAAAAGTTTCTAGTTTTTATTTTTTCTATTGGTTTTTTTCATCGAATCCATTGAAAAATTAAGTAAGTTGGGGAATTCTCGTCTCCTTGCTGTTAAGAAATTGGAAATTTCATTGAATCTCCAGGGAAAATCAAAATTGCAGGATTTTTTGTTCAAAAGTTCCTGGTTTTAATTTTTTTTATTGTAAAAAAAAAACTTTTAAAACGCATTTTCCTACAATGTCGAAAATATTTCGTCAGTTCCACTGTAATTCAAAAATATTCCCTCATTCAAAATTCACAATTCATCAGTTTTAATTCAAGTATTCCACTAAAATGAGAAAAATCAGAAAAATCAGATGAATTTATGTTTGAATTTCCGAATAACTTGCAGAATTCTTGCCGCACTGCTGTTTAAAAACTTGGCAATTCCTAGAATGTTCGACCAATCTGAAATTTCCTCATTCCTTCCCCCAAATTGAATTAAATTTTTATCCCACAGTGTTGCCACGCAATTAGTTAATCACGTGAATAGTCCACAGAATAATACAAAATACCCTAAACATTGATTTCCAAACCAGGGAATTCACTTTCTTCAGATAAAAACAATAGGGAATTGAGTGTGCGAATAAAAACAGTAAACGATTCTGAGAGAAAGCTCTCTGAATCGAGCCATGAAACGAGAATACACACGATTGAGGGGCTCACCTACACCGAGTCTGCCTCCAAGATAGTCGCATAGTTGATGCGGGAGAGGGCACGAGACATTTGAGGGCGATGAAGATGCCGAGGGGCGAGAGGGAAAAAGGTAAAAGCGAGGGAGACTGTAATTGAAAGAGGCCTTCTATCCGTGAACACAACGGGGGTAGATATCAGCGGACGAAGCGTTTCCAAGGGAACATGCCCGCGAGTATTCCGCGTTCAGATGGGTTTCGGGTTGAAGCCACCAATGGGGCTGCGGAAACAAGCGCCGGCGCTATAGTGAAATCCAGACGCTATTGAGCGTCAGCTATCAAAGATTTCTTGTTTTACTATGGCCGGTGTGGGAGGGGGTTTTTTCAACAGAGTCTCCCTTTGTCGTCTGAATTTTAAGCCTGATATTCATTTTAGGTTCCGGGAATGGACTTTCGGTGGGAAAATTTTTACTGTTTTATTCAATTTAGGGGGTTTAATTATTTTGGGCATTTTTTTAAATTATTTTTTTTAGTTTTGGGATAGAATTTTGGAGATTTAATTCAAGCTCCATTCGAAGTAAAATCAGTTGAAGAATATTGAGAGATGATTTTGTTATTCAAACTTCGAAGTAAATTTTTATTTTTATTTTTCGGTGTAAATCGTTGTAAATCGTTAGAAAATGTATTGGAATTATGGAGAAAAATAATTTTTTTAAGGGAAGCGTGAAATAATTGAACATGCGTAATTTGGAGTTGCCCCTTTGTCGTCTGAATTTTAAGCCTGATATTCATTTTAGGTTCCGGGAATGGACTTTCGGTGGGAAAATTTTTACTGTTTTATTCAATTTAGGGGGTTTAATTATTTTGGGCATTTTTTAAAATTATTTTTTTAGTTTTGGGATAGAATATTGGAGATTTAATTCAAGCTCCATTCGAAGTAAAATCAGTTGAAGAATATTGAGAGATGATTTTGTTATTCAAACTTCGAAGTAAATTTTTATTTTTATTTTTCGTTGTAAATCGTTGTAAATCGTTAGAAAATG